AAACCATTTCAGGTGACTACCTCTTGAAGCTCATGGAGAGAATGCCAAGAGTGTGCAAAGCAGTAATCAGAGCAAAGGGTGGCTATTTTGAAGAAACTAGAATATAAAACATGTTTTCAGTTATTTCACCTTTTTTTGTTAAGTACATAACTCCACATGTGTTCATTCATAGTTTTGATGCCTTCAGTGAGAATCTACAATGTAAATAGTCATGAAAATAAAGAAAACGCATTGAATGAGAAGGTGTGTCCAAACTTTTCATTTCCAAAACATATGTGCCAATTTCTTAATTGCATTTAATACATTTAGTAGAGCCTAGACCAAGAACGCCCCTAATTAAGAGGCAAACTCCCTCCCCTCCCAGGGGACCACCATCAGACCTCATTATGGAAGTAATATGTATGATAGTTAATGATGATAATGAGAGACAAATATTAGGTTGATCCTGTTTGAATAGTGCCATTAATTACACCTGTGATATTTATCAATTTAAAAGATAATTTAGAAAGTCAAGACTGTTTTCTTTTTACCTAGCTACACTCACCAACCTTATCACCACGCAGAAGGAAGTGTGCATTTACTGCTAGCTCACCTAGCACCACTGAGCTAGCTAACATTACAGGAGGGTGATGCTATTAATGTTTCCATCTCACGCTGTCACAAGCACGAGCCTCTCATCCACGAGTAGATGCATGCTTCTGTCTGCGTGGTCAAACGGTTGGTGGGTGTAGTTAGGTAGAAGGAAAATAGTTCCTACATGAAGCTGCTCACAACAAGGTCTGTGGATTATCTTGTAACTGGGTCATGATTTCTGGAAAGAGACATTGCTGTTGAGTTTTCCAAATGTATTTACTGGCGCTTTGAGCACCCCAAGCTTAGTGCCATCTAGCTCCATTATATATGTATTATACCAAAACTAACCAAAACAATCTAGACTGATAAAAAGCACTACAGGTAGGAAAAAATATATATTTTTGATTTTTGGGTGAACTGTCCTTTTAAGACAGCAGACAGTTCCTACCTGAGCCTCCAGAGAAATGTCATTGTCCAGCCTCTTGAAGGCATTCAGCAGTGCCTCGCGGGTGTCTGGGACTTCGCCTGGGCTGAACACATTGAGAGAGAGCAGTTGTGTGTGAAGCACAGAGAGAAAGAGGAAGCCACAGGTCAAGGACAGATAGCAACAACAGCAGCACTATTGGCAAAACAACAGATGGGCCTGTGTTGGTGTGGGCGTGTTGCTACAAGGTACAGATGAAACCTGCTTCAAAAGTTAGTAAAAGCCAAAAAACTTGTCAAGTGAAGGCAGCCCCAGCTGTCAATAACATGGTAGCCTCAATGGAGTTTAGGAAGAAGCCTGCATTTTTGCCACGGTGCTGTTGTGTATACTTAGCCGTGAATCGTCTGCTGACCTGGTGAGATCTATTAACTCCTGCCAGTATGTTCGGAGGCTGTTGAAGTAGAGAGTCTGAGCCTCCCTGCTGAAGTAGTCGTTGGGGTGTTTGTGCCACTGCAGGATGGGACTGAGGGCCCTGCCGGACTCCACCGCTGCCTCCAGCTCACACAGTGTGTTGTGGGGCAGCAGAGACACTGCTATGTAGTAGAATAACCTCTCACTCAGCGCCTGCCAGAGAGGAGGAGAGACGGGAAAATACTGTCAGTGCAACAGTGTATAGAAATGAAAATACATATAAAGTTATCTTGTAAATAGATCTTTAAATATGCGACTTCTAACATCTCAGCATCAAAAGTTTAAATTGTTCCAATTACTGGACAAGCTTTAATAACCATATAGTAGAAACGTGTATGTAGAAAGTGTAAATATTCCTGTTCCTCCAACCAGCCTGTTTATAATGCTTACAAAATTAATGTTTAGTGCTTCAGGCTTTTCTAAGCATGCGCCATGTTTCAAAATGTTGCAGAATAAAGCCCTATTCATACACAGCTAGCACTACCTGGGAACCTTATGTGATTTCTCTTCACCGCCCCCTATCTGTGTTTCACGTGGCACATTCCCGGTCATGATGCACACAGTACAGTGTTTACCTCGTTTTTTTTTTCCTTTTGAAAATGTGGGTTAAACAAACAGGACCGGCTCTGCAACACTGTCACGTCATCCCTTTCATCATCTTTCAAAATTCTGATCTTGTGATGATTTCAGTTACCTCTTTTTGCAATGCATGATCATGCTGTCATGAGATGAGCCTCCTGCACCCAAAATGATGTCAAAACTTTCATTTCTAATTGCCAACGCAGCTTCCATAGTTCTCACAAAGGGAAGAGGCTGAAATTGCGGGGAAAATAAAAAAATCTAAATACGACCCAAAATCACTGAGATGCCAGTTTGTGCAGGACTAATATTATCACATGACCTCTGTGTCTGTGGTTATTTTAGGTGGAATTCTTACTTGACAAATTACGGATATGGCAGGTTCATGTGGGATTAACATCACAGACAACCTCTGCAGTTATTACAAATTAATAGAGGTCCCCAAGTAAAACAAGTCCTTTGTTATGTATCATGAGTAGAGAGTGGATATGAGGACCGTAGCAGATACTTTAATCACACTTAAACAATGCACGTATGGAGTCAACTTTACCTGTGCACAGGCGCAGCCAGCATGGCCATCAAACACACCCAGCAGCATTCCTCGTGTCTGCAGGCATGTGGCTGCACTTCGACGGTCTTCTATAGGAGCATTAGCTGGCAGCTGATTACTCTCAAAACCCATCACTGCTGACACGTTCTTCCCATCGAACTCCGGCACCTGGGACCGCAACACATAAAAATCCTAAGATGAAAACTTAAATGTAGAGATGGCCGGGCATGTTGTTTATGTTTGCATTAGAGCTGCAACGATTATTTGGCTACTAGATTGTTGACTACTAAATTCATCGCCAACTATTTTCATAATAAATTAATTAGATACATATTTTTTTTAAAAGGAAAAATTCAAATTCCTTTGATTCCTGCTCCTTAAATGTGAATATTTTTTGTTTTTTTACTCCTCTATGACAGTAAAATGAAGATCTGTGGGCTGTGGAAGAAACAAGTTATTTGAGGGCGTCGTCTTGGACTCTAAGGAACGCAGATAATTTTTCACCATTTTCTTACATTTTATAGTCCAAACAACTAATCCATTAATCAAGAAAATAATTGACGGATTAATCAACACCAAAAATACTTATTTGCAGCGTTAGTTGCCTGAATGACACACACACACACCTTGAAGCTGTACTCGTTGGCTTTCAGAATCGAGTTGACCTGCGGGGGTGTGAGGATGTAACTGCGGAGCACTGAGGTTGCCCGGTAACTTCTTGAGTGCTGGTGGCTCTGCCATATGTGAGAAGGCCGTCTTGAGGCAGGTCGGTGAGTGATGGGTCCTAACTGGGACTGGTGTTGTTGGCATGGTAACAGACTGGAGGCCAAAACCTTGGAACGGGGCAAACCCCTGAGCAGCTGAGATGTCACAGGCATGGCTGAAGGTGCACTGCAAGTAGACACAGACAATACACCACTGATGTAAACAAACATTATTTATGTTTACTAATTATTTATTGAAGCATGTAATTTCTTTGCTTGGTCCTCGTGTGAGTTGGTGTGCACGGGGCCACACAAAGTGCCAGTGTGAATCTTCTGCCCATGTATTGATCTCTGACATATCACGACTGTTGCTTGCTGTTTGTTTCTGCCTGTGAATTTGTGTACAAACCGGGTAGATTGCAAAACTGACTTGCCCTTCCGGGATAAATAAAGCTGTCTGAACTCAACTGAACAGAACAGAACGTAACAGCTGGACTTTTATGAGATGCATTCATCTACAAAGAACAGAGTGGCCTCTCCATGTGCCATTGAGCAAACATTGTGAAACACAGATTATGCAGTGACAGGTTGACAGTAGCAGGGAATGCAGGTGAGGCTTTGGTGTCTAAATAACCCCACCGACTAACCACACATAAATATTTGAATAAGAACATTTGATTTTTTTCAGGCCAATATTTTCCACTTTGCTCCATCTGCGTTGGCCACAGTTCACATATTATGCCCGTGAGCAATTCACATAAAATCAAATCATCAGTTTAAACAGTTGCTGATTAACTGCCCAGTGTACTGGAGAACATTACAGGAACCTAAACTTCTGTAAACTTCCATCTCAATTCTCTGCTACCTGGATAGTTACTGAGTCTTGCCATCTCATAAGAGCGTTGGTCCTACAATAAACTTGTTCTGTTCACATGTGTTACTGGAGTTTCGACCTCTTTAGACTCATTTCTCTTCTCCACGAAAGCAGGTACCAGATACCCTCACTCTGGTTATTGAGCCTAACATTAGACTAAACTTATCATTCCCATGTGGTGAAATACAGCCATCTAACTGGAAATTCAATAGTAAGGAAAAAAGATCCATCATACAAAATTTGCGTAAATATCATTGGCAGCTATGGAAACCGTATTTGAACTATTTTTACCGGTAAAACTTGTTTTCCTGCATTTGGCAGGTCAGTCTTGAAGTGAACTTTAGCATGCAAACCAACAATATACACATATAAGACTGTCCAGAATAAGATTTTTTGGGGCTCTGGAGCTATGGTGGTACTCAACAGCGAATATTCAAAGCTTTTGGCCATGGGGTGGGGTGGTAAACACGACTCAGAGATGACTTAGCCACACATTTCCTCCCTTCTCAGATGGATGACAAAGCGCCGCAACTTTTTTCAAGAGGCTTGGTGTGTTTTTAATCCCAAGGGGCTTGACTGAACAAGGTCCTATTTATGCACTTTTTGTGACAATAATAACTTGTGACACTTTCTCACTATGAATAAATTACAGACTTACATAAATGCACATAATAATAGGCTCTGAATCATAGACAATGTCTGACAAAGGCCTGTGAAAAAAACAAACTAATATCCGAATCCCAAAGTTGAAAACCGAAAATCTAACCAACGAACAAAAATCCAAATAGTTGAATATTTGGGTCCAGCTCTAATAAATGCATACTCTCAGTTGCTACGATATTAGGTACACATTGCTAAATGAATGTAATCTAATGCAATAAAACCTACCGTCCTGACGGTTGTAAGGTTCAGTGTTAGCTAAAACTTTATCAGAGAGGTTCAACACTGTAATCGTGGCGGTGCTGTTGACTTGTAATGTGTTATACTGACAGGTGTTATTTTGTTGACCCCATTACATCAATGAGGTAATCAGTTCAACAGCACCACAAACTGCATCCTCCAAAATGACCATGCAGTTAAACCAGCTCCTCGCTATACCAGTTTTATAATAACCTTCATGAAGCTAGGGCTTGATGCAGGGCTTTTATATACAAACTACATACATTTTTAGCTAGGTGTACCTAATAAAATGGCAAGTGAGTCTATTTATTTTGCACCTGGCAAAATTAATCTGATTAATCTGTTTATCTTGAATGCACAACCTACTCTAACATCCTGCTCAGTGTGAAAGTGTAACACCTATTGTTTGTAACTTTGTGGGGTGCTGACATGCCATGCAGCCTCACACAGAGACATTTATAGTCTTGTGCAAAATACAGCTGAGCACAGTTCACTGTTTTGTCCTGAAAGTCTCAAAAAACGAGTATTAGGAGTCAGAGCATGCACTGGTGTCTGTCTGGCTTGGGTTGCAAGTTTGCTCTCCTCTCCAACTCCAGCTCAGCATTGCTAAAATTAGCTCTGGCAAGAATCTCAGCCCTGACATTTAAGTCTTGAGAAATGTCCTGTCTGGTCATGACCCACTGAACCAGATCCAAGCTACGTGTCTCCATATATAATCTGTTCTCATTGCATAATTTAAGTGCATCTGCAGCTCCTTGGAGTCAGTGGTGTTCTGGGTGAAGATGCAGCAGCCCAGGTGATGACAGCTCAGGTGAAAATCTCTGCTGCTTAAACGTTTTAGTGCAAATGTCCTCCAGGTTGACCCCGCTGTGTTGGAGTAAGCTGGGCAGTGAAAAATCCTCCGCAAAGTGTATATTATGAGTCAGTCAGACCGCGGAGGGCCCGTCCCAGCTCTGAGCTCTGCAAATAAAGTTGCCATGTTTGTTGACATCACTAGCCTCCCCTAGCTGGTAGCAAAGCGGGACTACAGAACCGTAAGCTAGCCTCAGAGCTGTTAGCCGACCCTGCGACACAGAAGACCAGTCTCAACGCTAAGCTAGGCGAACAAACCGTGCCACGATAATGACATTAACAGAAAGTATTTACGTTAGCTCGACGTGCGTCAGTCAGCCGAGGAGAGCAGCCAAATTTAAGCTAATGGTAGCTAGTGGTGTTTGGGTTACACCCACCAACTGTCGCTCAAACTGGGTAATGTCCGCTCACATAACACCAGGAGGGACCAGCACACAGCCCGCTAACACGTAACAGCCGAAAAGTGCGTGTGCGGAGCTAAATTCAGACTCACCTTAACCGAGGGATGTGGAGAAGTTACTGAAGTTCATGACTTAACACCGACCCCTCAGCTCTCTATCATCCTGGGGCGCCGCACCGCAGAGTGAGCGCTGATTGGCTGAGCTATGACAGACGCGCTGACGTCACGGCAAGCCCTCACGCACGGGTAGAGCCTTTGAAAATGGGAGCGATGAGTTGCAGCTTTTATTAACCCACAAGCGGATATTTTAAGCAATTAAGGCGAATGTTAATGTGACTATATTCAACAATTAATTATGAAATACATAATTCCAAAAGCTCTCTCTGTAATCTGTGTCTAAAGGGCAGGATAGATTTAGAAACAGCACTGGGCAGAGACACAAGCTATTACCTCATGTGAACCTGTAAATCATGCATGCGGTTCTATTTGTGTCCTGATGTACCGTGCAGTGTTCAGCACACCCTGGAATGACATATGAGAATTTAACCAACAGAACTCACTCTATTCAAAAAAGGGGGATTTGCTAAAACACGTTCCATGGCAGTCAGCAACTGATCTAGTCTCATAAGGATGTTTTAATTTATGAGTCTTACTATATTGCATTAAAGGAGTAAAGTGTAGGATTTAGTTGCAGATTGCAACCAGCTGAAACTTGTCAGGATTTCTTCAGTGTTCAGGACAGAAGTGTCAAACTCAATTTAGTTCACAGGCCTCATACAGTCCCATTTGATCGCAGGTGGGCAAGAGCAGTAAAACCATTGCCGAATATCCTGTCAGTAACAGACACCTCTGACATTTTCCCTTTTTTTGTTTAAAGAAGTACTTTTTTTAATATATATATATATATATAAAAAGCAAATCCATTTACAAAACAGATGACAGCCCGTGATGTCCTCAGAAGGATGAGTGCAATTTCAATATTTCTGTTTTTCCCACATTCAGTCAGCTGCCTACTCACTGTCATTACATGTGCATTTTTCCATACATTTCCACTCCCGTGTCGTAATCCTGACATCACCACACCAAACTGAAGTGAAAGAAAATAACTGTATTAAGGTCAGGGTGGAAAAGCCTCTGAGGTTCCATTTTACATAGAAAGCTACTCAGTGTTTAACTTGCTCCTAAAACCTGGTACCTCTCAGCCTTCACAAGTACATCACTATTAAGTGTGCAAGGTCATCCATCCAGTGAGCCGGACTCAACCCTTTGGCGGGCCGGTTCTGGCCCCTGGGCCATATGTTTGACATCCCCGGGTTAGGAGGTGTTTACCAGGGATTGAATTATCCGCAGAAGTCTCTTCCTCACCATAAGGAACAGATCAGGTGATTAAAACTGGTAAAAACACCACATAAAGAAGTTTCCACATTACAAATCAGTAATTGTTTCTGCGTAAACAAACTGACAGGGATGTCTGTTGGATGACTAACCCATAAAACATGAAAGAAAAAATGCAAGAGCCATATAAAAATCAAATGTTGCCATAGAAAAAGTGTTTTGCAATGTTGTCCGCAATGACCTAATATACCCGGACATGTTAAAGGGATACGTTTAAAAGCCTCTGCTGGTTGACAAATATATATAATCTATGTATAATCCCACAGTATATATTGCACACCTATCTGCATAAAACTTTTCTTATATCATCATATAAATTTCAGAAAACTCACAAGACATCTTGAAGTGAACTCCATTGAAATGACCTCAAATCAAGGCTGTCTTCATATCAAAACATTTTAATCAATAAAAACATCAAAATCTTTAGAAAAATTATGATATTTACATCATGAAACAGTCGTGAAAATACTGTATGTGTAAAGAAAAGTACAAAAAAAGGCTGCACAAGCTGTGAACAGTAAACATTTTGAGAGCAATGCCACCAAACAACACTGACATCACCAACTACTTAGCAAGGAACTTTATATCAGAAATCTCTCGTCCACCAGAGTCTTGTTGACGAGGTTCTTCCTCCCGAGAGTGTTACGGATCAAGCGAAATATCTGTAATGAATGAGATGGAAGTTAATGCATGTTTCTATATAGCACTTTGAAAGCAAAATACTGTATACATACCAAATACTGACCATCTGCTGTACGTATGTAAGCACGGCTGCGAGTACAAAGCTCTGAGATCCGAGGTCAACGATACAGAAGAACAAAGTGTCAAAGATCAGTAGTGTGGCCTCGTTTCCATAAAATAGCACATCACTGAAGGAGTGGGCCTCATCTGCAGTGAGGAAAGCAAACAGACGTTATACACACACACACACACACGCATATACTGTATTTACTATATACAAACAGAGATGTGCAGCCTGTCTGGGACAGCATGTCATTACCGTTGTAAAAGATGCTTTTTTCAGAGGGTTCAAGGAACTCCATCCCTATGACCCTCTCAAAGATCAGCTTGTCCTTCACTATATAGTCCATGTCTGGATGTCCCTGAGGTAAATAACGCAACATCAGAGGCAGAGCAACTCGTCTGTGCAAAACAGGTCAGGTCAAACAAAACAAATCATATACATATACTTTACAATCTAACAAATAAATGCATAGCTTGTTTGCAATCACTTGACAATTATAAGGTGCTATATTCAGATGGAGGGCAGGATATGGTGAATCCATTTACTGCATGAACTGGAACTAGACTTTTTCCTACAACTTTGCCTGGTGTGGACTGAAATGACTGCTGCCTTTTTCGTGTTGGGTGAGCAAATTTTAATTCATTAATTTTCCGTAACCTCTTATCTTGTTGAGGGTCGCAGGCAGAGTCAACCATTCACGCTCACAGTCACACCTTCATTTCATTCAATTTAGAGTCACCAGTGAACCTGAATGTCTTTGGACTGGGGGGGGGGGGGGGGGGGGGGGGGGGGGGGGGGGGGGGGGGGGGGGGGGGGGGGGGGACCGGAGTACCCAGGAACCCTCTGCTGTGAGGCGACATTACTACACCACCATGCAGCCCGTGAGCATAACTTTCTTTTATATTCCAGCTCTATACACGGATGCACCACCATCAGGCTTACGTTACTAGCTAAAGTCAGTGGTGTATTGTAACAGAGTAATAACGTTTCGTTAAAGTACTTAAGTATTTTTGGGAAGTATCTGTGCTTAATTTATTCAAAATGAATGAATAAGTGAATTTGTTTTGTTGACAGTTCCCCATCCAAACCAAAACAAAAGCACACTGACGAGCTATACTGTGGCACAGTAGCTGGAGGTCACTCATCTCTCTCTTTTAGTCCTACTATTTTTAGGACTTTAAGTGTCACTAGTTCAATTTCAATTTCAATTCAATTCAATTTTATTTATAAAGCCCAATATCACAAATAACAATTAGCCTCAGAGGGCTTTACAGCATACGACATCCGTCTGTCCTTTGGACCCTCACAGTGGATAAGGAAAAACTCCCCCCCAAAAAACCTTTAACGGGGAAAAAAAATGGTAGAAACCTCAGAAAGAGCAACCGAGGAGGAATCCCTCTTCCAGGACGGACAGACGAGCAGTAGATGTTCTCCCAATCTGATCGATTGGAATAGCCATAATGGACAGCGCACCAAACTATGACTTCATATGCAAAGAAGCTATATACAATAAAACTGTGCCAGGTTCAGTGTGCTTGTGTGAGTTGATCTATGTGCTTTTATACTAACATGGTCTATAATAGATCCCAGGAAGTGGTTCATGGTCTGGTAGCCTCTGGCCCTCTGCTCAAAGTGGTTAGCCAAGCTTGCGTCCACCAGCCGCGACGGGCCGTGCCTCTGTAGTGCAGGAGACAAGCAAACATTTAAATTAAAAATGGAGAGTAATTTTTCTCTTGGCTTGACAGTTTATAGATGAGTTACAAACACAACAGAGAAAGCACAGACCCTGCCGATCTGCTCCCGTATCCTGTCATACTGTGCCCGCAGGTGGCTGTTGAGAGACACCTGAAAGGTCTGGATCTCTGTGTTGGGGAGTAAACCTCTCTGACCACACAGGGACTCCTTGTGACAGAAAACGACAGTGAGGAAGAAAGAAAGAGGATGACTATAATGTGAAATCAACAAAGTCATAAATGTGTCACAAGTACTAATACTGTAATGTGATCTGTTGGTGTACATACAGATTCTCTGTTCAGGTTGTTGTTCATTTCCTCCATGTTTGTATCTGCATGTCCGTGTACTGAACGCCCATGGATGTAGTAGCCGAAACAACGGTGAGATAATAGCAGCACAGAAATCTAAATAGAAACACGGACAAAGTACACTTTAGTAAAATACTCCAGGCAGATAAATTATTTGAATATAATATAAACATTGCTACTTACATTACTGATGGAGCAGAGATCTACAAACTGACGGATTTTATCCTCCACAAAGTGATCATGAAACACAGTGAAGAAAATCACCTGTCGAGATAAGTGATTATCTGTTAAAGGAGCTCTAAACACTCGTACTGTATGCAGTAGTTCCTTCATTTCTTAAGAAAGCCAGGAAGAGGAGAGAGCTCAAAGAGAAGAGAGGGAAGGAGAGATAAGCATGAGTGGTGGCAGTTTTACCTGCAGAAGTCCAATGCAGAGCCACAACGTGGCTGCCAGACCATAGCGCAGCATCAGGCTGTATGAAGGGGTGTACGCCTGTGAGGAGCGCTGTAAAGTTGGCCAGGGGTCCCTCAGGGCCAGGTTAGAGAAACCCAGCACCTGAACAGTACAGGGTGACAGGTCAGCAAAGAGGAAAAAGGACATAACACAAGCTGCAAAAGAAGAACAGAGTGTACGTCTTGGTGTAACATGCACCTCAAGAAAGAAGAGCACAGCCATGATCTGAAAGGTTGGGCTGATCTTGCGGATGGTCTGAATCTCGTTCCATTCATTGGCCACAAAGTAGGTCCTCCAGATGCTGACTGGGGAGGGGTCACGTTTCAGCTCACCAGTGGCTGAAACAGCAGCAAATATACATGTGAATATACTGTATATATATTTATACATACAGACAGGGCACAAATGAAAGGAAAACATGGATTAGAAAGTGTAGAAACAGGGCTCACTGAATGGTTTGGCGGCTATGAAAATGACGTGAATAAAATACTACAGCCTTTACGGTGACCGATATCAACCCAGTTTAACACTGAAGTGTCAAAAACTGCAGTTCCTCTAATGACCACTCAAGGCTGGCTCCAAAAGCGATTCAATCCACTTACAAACCCATGTTAAAATGCCCAACTTTAGAGCAGAAACAAACATGTTTACAGCCTGGTACAAAAAGCCGTTCTGGTCTCTCGCGTGGGTGCTGTGAGTGACAGGCGGGTGCCATCTGTTGAAAAGTGTGTGTGTGTGTGTGTGTGAATTGAATAAAACAGCCGTATAATTACTTCTTATCGTGACTGCCAAGTACAAACATAAATCTGTCTGTACCTTGTACAGTTCTGCTAGTTTTGCTCCTCGGCCTCTCCCAGTCAATAAAGAACACATCAACTGTCACCTGAAGGATCAGCTTGTGCAGAAACTGGATAGCCTGGGTAAAAATACACAAAACACTTTTTCAATATTCCTGTTAGAAGCACACCATTTAGCTTTCAAAAACAATACTGCTCATTCTTTTCATCCGCTCAGTTGGTTTCTAACCTTGAGAGTGAAGGCGCAACCAATATATGTCACAAACTGCTCCTCCTGAGCAGGCAGCGGTAACAGCACTGATACAAACTGTTGGGCCTAAATGGATACATACACAAATTAATCACAGGAAGCAGCCAATAATAATCCCACTCAAATCTATGCATTTGAACAAAAAAAAAATTAAAAAATAAAAATCAGGCAAATAAAGTAAAGGAGGAAAGAGACTTGCCTTTAACGTCTAAAGAGTGCAGAGAGGAAAACACATAAGTCCATGCAAGGACAAGAGAAGCATAGAAGAAAAGAAGTAAAGTTTTAAAAAAGGGCTCAAAGGAAACAGCTCCATAATTTAGATACTGGACCAAATATTAAACACCACTCAAGTGGGAAAACCAGAAATCATATAAAACAAAGTCCCAGAGGAATGAGACTAACCTTGTAAAAGATGAGCCAGTAAAGTCCAGTTCCCACGGTGACAGTGAAAAAAACATTGGCCAGATCTCCGGCATAAAACAACAAAAACTTCAGCATAGTCTGGGACAGACGGTGAGAGGAGGGAGAGACCAAAGTTACTCACAAGCATGACTACAGCGTATGGACTGACATGACTTATGACATGTTAAAGATGCAGTACCGCCACATCGACGAGCGGAGAGGCAATTCTCCTCTTCCAGCTGACTGTCTTGAGCAGAGAGTAGAGGATGGCCACACCACCCATCACACCTAGAGCAGTCTGTGCACACAAACATATCAGAGCCACAGGTGATACTGCAGCGCTGTGGGCTGTGACATTAACACTGAAAAGCATAAAGAACATCTCCTTTATCTGTCACATTAAACCATTTAAAGCTGCAGTAGGTAACTTTTTTTTGGCAAACATAAGAAGAAGTTACTATATCCTAACAGAAGTACATGACACAGATAATCTGTGGGAAAAAATCACACTCCTCTGCCTCCTCATCGTGCTCCTAATGGCAGCTAGCAAGAATCACAAAAAGTCTCTAACACAGCTGTCAATCATGTCAATCACTGCTCGTTAACTGCGGTCAAACTGTCAACCTAGGCAGCTGTGATCAAAAATGAATCAAGCTCCTGTTACTGCATTGTCTATTTTTCACCTAAGAAGTTTTCAGACACATATTTTAGTGTACTGTTTAGCTGTAAAATAAGAAAGTTTACTCTGGCTGCTGCTTTTTTTTTTTTGCTCGACTGTTTAAAACATGATAGTTGAGGTCACAAACTTTCTCATTTTACAGCTAACCAGTACACTAAAATCCATCCATCCGTTTTCCGTAACCACTTATCCTCTTGAGGGTTGCAGGGTTGGCTGGAGCCTATCCCAGCTGACACCCTGGACAGGTCACCAGACTATCACAGGGCTGACACATAGAGACAGACAACCATTCACACTCACATTCACACCTACGGACAATTTAGAGTCACCAATTAACCTGCTTGTCTTTGGACTGTGGGAGGAAGCTGGAGTACCTGGAGAAAACCCATGCTGACACGGGTTCCTCTTCCTGTGAGGCGACAGTGCTAACCACTACACCAGCATGCCGCCTCAGTACACGGAAATATATTTCTGAAAACATCTGAGACAGAAAATATTCTAATCATGAAAAGTGCTGCCTAGTTTGACTGCGTGTCACGAGCAGTGACTGACATGACTGACAGCTGCCCTCTCTGAAAATGGCCTGTGGAGCCTCTAACTCCTTTCACAAGCTTGAGTCAAGCGGCGGTAGGGATGGGAACTTATTACATTTTATTGATACCAATACCATTATCGATTGTGCTTATCTGTCCAATTCTTTGTCGACTCCCTTTTTAATTCCTGATCAATTTTCTGTATTGAAAAAGCGTAGGCCCACACCGTTTTTCAGCGTCAACACAACTGTTTTATTATCTCTGAGTCTATACACAGTGTAGCGTACAGCGTCTAATACATGGGATTCCTGGAATATAAGGCCATGTTGCAGAGAAAGATGTTTCAGCATATTGCAGGTGTTTACACCCTTATGTGAAAAAAATAATTTTACAGACATTACAAGCAGCACTGTTACCATCTTTATTGTGACACTGATCCACATTTTGGATCCATTCTTCCTCTCTGTTAAGACTCTGTTTCCAGCAGCACAGACACGAGTTTGACGTCAATGTTGCAGTCAGCAAAACATGTGGGCATCGATAAAGGGAGCTGATAACCTCGAAGGCATACGATTCCAATGCATCAGGCAAGATCGCACTGGTTCTCAACTCAAACCCGTTTATGATTCCCATCCCTAACTGGAGGTGTAGAAGTCTACTGTTCTCTCAGACCAGACCACCTGCCTACACAAGCTTTAACAATAAACATTTTATTATGTCTTCTACTCACATCTGTCTTCATGCGAGCCTCCTTTTGATCCATCTCATACTCCACAGCAAACGTTGTCTAGAAACAGATAAATTGCATCAACACATTTACCAACTAAACTTTGTTTTTGACATAAATGAAGACAGCAACTCATATCGCCATTTTGACTTTAACAGGAGGCCTACTAAGAAAAAGTCATACTGCAACTTAATTTTTGAGATCAAAAGCATCAGCTGTATATATGTGTGTGTGTGTGTGTGTGTGTGTTTCTACTCACAGTCACAGTTTGTGTTTTTATATCCATGATGGGGACATCTCTGTAGGTCACAGTCATCAGAGGGGGAAATACATGTCCTTCCTGGGTTCGTGGAACCAGCTGGAACCTGCAAAACACACATTTGATCAAAAACAGCACCGCTTCCCAAGGCAGTACCAAATACAAGCTTTTACTTTCTTTTATTTATTTATTTTTTTAAATTTTATATACTTTATTAATCCCCAAGGGGAAATTATTATTATTATTTATTTTTTATTTTTTTCACTCTGTTGTCAATTACACACAGGTCCGAACACACACATGCACAAACAGGACCTATACATGCACTAAGTGGAGAGATGTCAGAGTGGGGCTGTCCATGACAGGCGCTCCGAGCGGTTGGGGGGTTCGGTGCCTTGCTCAAGGGCACCTCGGCAGTGCCCAGGAGGTGAACTGGCACCTCTCCAGCTACCAGTCCACGCTCCATATTTTGGTCCGGGCGAGGACTTGAACGGGCGACCCTCCGGTTCCCAACCCAGGTCCAGAAAAAGTCCTTTCTTTTTTGTAATGGCAGTGTACACACTGATTGCCCACCTTATTTTGACACTGCTGGCTACACGGATGACTTTGGGCTGGGAGCCGGTGCTCTTCTCTCTTCCGCTCAGTGTGTCGACAACAAACATACGTCGAGACAGGTACCAGTTCTTCATGCTCTCTGCAAAGACAAAATACATTAAAACACCTCATACACACACCCACACCCACACTCTCTAAAAAATAAAATCCCACCTTGGTTGATGAAGCGTCCGTTGTATTGCTGGTTGTAGACGAGTGTAGGCAGAGGGAGAAGTTTTTTGTTCTCTTCTCCACCAAGATCCATAAACACATCATAGAACAGCGGCTCTGGATGGGTATCCAACAGCTCTTTAACTGAGAGATCGCACTGCAAACACACACACAGCCTCTAATACAACTGGGCATTGCAAAAGAGTTTGTGCACTGTCTCTGAGGCAAATTAAAAAGAAAACTCACACTTTCTTGGTAAGCGGTTCCAAAGCTGAACGCAGCTGCCTGTTTGGTGGTCGTTTCTGGGCAAAGCTAAAGAGCAGAAGAGAAGAAGAGAGGAAGAGTGGAGTATTTATTTTCATATTTTGTATGAACCACATAAAAATTGCTTAATTCAATCAAAAGTAGCAAAAGATAAGTTTATGTTGTTCACATGCAAAACAGTGGTGGGCAACATTAAGTGGGATCTGGCCCTAAATCCAAACTTTTCAGGAAAACCAAGCACTTCCATGTATATTTCATGATAAGTTACAATTCTTTAGTGTATTCAGACTTAATATCTCATTTTATCATCAGCCATTTGAAATCTTACCTGGAGATTACTTCCTCCTAGTGGTTCCCATCTGAGGAACTCTCCTCTGACATTGTAGACAGCAGCAAGCAGCTTGATGTCAGTGTTCTGTCAGACAGAGTATGTCAAATCAAGAGAACATTTTTGGCACCATTTAATGTTTATTGCTCTATTTGTAGAATCATGAAATTATGATTTTGTTGTGATAACTGGAGGATGATTGAGGTCAGGGTTCGTCCTGCAAAGAGGAATTTCTGGCACCCCCTCCAAAGACGTTTTAGCCGGCGCTAAAGGAAATTCACAATTCCAATCCTCTCTGAATGTGTTTATCAAGCAGAACATAAACCTCAGTGCAAACGTTTTTGACTTTCAGCCATCAACTCCTCTCTCATCCACAGCTGCTTTATTTCAAACATGCAGCTGGTGCTGGATAAGCCAGCTAAGCTGCTTTGTTTTGACTGGGTCTGAACCCTTCTCTGTGGGGCTACCATTAGTAGGAGAGAGGACTTTCTGTGATTCCTCATAAAATAAAAGCTGTTTTATTTCTGGTGACGATCTTAAAAGTGGTGAATTACAACCGCAGCATATTTTTTGTGTCATGTCCTGCCTCATGCACCCCTTGCCTAAACTAAAGGGAGTATTTCCAGTAGGAGGATGCATCTGACCTAACAATCTCCTGCCATGTGCTACATGTGTAAAAGGGTAAGTCAGGAAAAATGTCCAGACCTCCCAACCCAGTTTGGTGTGAGTAGCAGAGTGTTGGAGATATCAGCTGTAGAGATGTCTGCCTTCTCTCCAATATAATGAAACTAGATGGCACTTGGCTTGTGGAGTTCAAAGTGCCATGAAAACACATTGGGGGGCCCTAGCACTTGGGCCTCTGGACCTGTGCTTGGTAGGTGTATTGAGTAATCCATTCATAGTAGGAACTTTTATCTTTCTACCGAATGATGAAAGACTTAGGGCTTTGTTTACTTAACCTATATAGACATTTTTGTTTATTGAATGGTCTGAAAGAACAGGAAAATGCATACACTTCTGTAAAATAACGTAACAGAGACTTACTGCCTTTACTGTACGCAGACCAATCAATCTGTAGCACATAGTCATCCCCCAGAGGCCCATTCTGAGACACAAGATACCCTGGAAGTTTATCACTCACCTTGTTTCTTCCTCGGAAACTGAACCCAATGGGAACAGGTTCGGTTTGAAGCACTCGACTGGCCAGTCCTGGCTCGTCCCCGTAGTAAAGCCACGGCAGGTTACCTCTCCTGAAGACAGAGTAACCAAAGCACTTACTGTCCACTCTGGGTGCAACTAAATTACAGTGTAGGCTGATGAAGCCTTGCTAAGTTTGCAAAGAAATCCCAATATACACATATATGCCATGACAATGTTGACTACCAGTAGGAGATGTCTTGAGTTGAGCTCATAGCAGCCCTAGATCTGAAGACGATGTTGAAGAGACCGCAGGCATCAGTGGAGATGCCGCTGAAGGAGTGCATGTTCATCACACACATGTTCCCGAGAGCCTGACACGCCGTCAGGTTGGAGAAGACCTGTAAGCACACAACTTGTTAATGCATGGCAGCTGAAACAAAGTTTAAGAAAAATCATAGTCTGAACTGTCATTACTTACAATACTTGTGCATATTTATTAGATACATTTTTGCATCAATTTGCAGTTAAAATTTCAATAGCTATAGTGAATGTCTGTGATTTGTCATGAACACCAACAGTTACAGATACACCACAACATCCTGAAATAACAAATATCCTCCTGTGTCACAATGAGCACATCACTTGTGGCGGTATGTAGCTGCAATTAGAACCTGAACTGTCCTCCTGTAATGCCAGATCAAGAATAAAGATTATTTTCAATAGCAACAGAGTAAGATGTGGAATTACAAGGCAGGCTGCTGACGAGGAGTACAGGTTTTTGACGAACCAGGCAGACTGGACACTGAATTTCTACAAGGGGAACAGAGCAGAAAACACAAATCAGAACACAGCCAAATAAACAAAAATGATGTGAGCACATGAGAGATGGTAAGAGACTCACCAGCTGAGCATAGCTGACACTGGGATTCACATTGGTGGAGAGGCTGCCTGGAGGGATACACAAACCTCCTGCCTGGAAAATCACATACCAGTCATTGATGATACATTGAGTTAGTAACTGAACAGTGTCTGTAGGAGGGCAGAGGGTCAGCAGAACTCACCAGGACATTGGGAGGGGTACACTCACAGGAGGAGTTCATGAAGGTAGCCTGACATCTTTCACACCTGAAAGACAATTGTGGAGACTGTTCCAACCCTTATACTGTAAAACAAAGTCTGGAATTAAGTCATCCTTTCTTCACACTACAGTACTACACTAGTGGTGCAAAGAAAGCAGTCAGACGCCTTTTCTTAGAACAAACAAAATACGTCATGGAAGAAAGAAACTGTGCCCTTGCAATGATGAGGGTCATGGGCCAGTGAGAGGCACAGAGGGATGAAGACAGGAAGTAGTTTTGCAACGGTATGAGATTTTCACAGTGAGATAACCATCTCACAGACAGTTTCATGGTATTATAGTACACAGTATTACAGTTTCAATGACCCTTAAAGCTGTTGCTGGTAACTTCTATAAAAAATTATTTTTTGTTTTATTTGCTGAAACGGTCACTACATCCACACAGTAGTACATGAAACAGTCTGTGTTTCTCTGCCCTCTTGTGTTTCCTCTAATGGCATTACTGTAGGTGAATGAAAACAGCCAATCAAAGCCGAGGAATCTCAGACACTGTTGTCAATCATGTTAATTACTGAGTGAACTGTGGTCAAACTGATCAAATAGGAATCAAGATTTTGTTACAGCATTGCCTTTTTCCCTCCTCAGATGTTTTCAGAAACATATTTTAATGTACTCTTTACCTGTAAAATGAGAGTTTGTGACCCGGCCGCCATGTTGGAAACAGTTGAGCTGAAAAATAAACAATGCCCATGGACCAGAGCAAACTTTCTCATTTTACAGCTAAGCAAGTCTCCAAGCAAGTCCAGCTAAGCTGCCTGTGAACTCCAAAACCAAAATAAGAAATGTCTCTCATAGTGCATGGACAGATTTCTTTGGTTTCACCACCATCGCTGCAAAGTTAAAGTACCAAATAATCATAAATAGCCCACGGCAGAGCTGCCACCTTGTGGAAAAACATATTAATGAATGCTCATTTGAACCTATTAGTCATATATTGATAGGCTAATTAAGACTTAGCAGGTTGTGTTACCTTCATTACAAGGCTCAAATATGGTCCAGACTGATTTTATTTGGGTGCCGACCCTTGAGATAATTGCATCAGTGCAATTGTATCAGTTTACTCTTCAAGATTATATAATATGTAAAAGGTATAAACTAAGATGCCTTGGTCAAATTCTAGAGGTCGACTGTATAAATCAGCTGGATATGTGTTTCTGTTTGTATGGCAGTGATATGTACCTGTCTCCACTGAGGTTTGGTACAGATGAAGCAGGGGAGTTTCCATTACATGTTTCACACCTGGCCTCATCCAAAAGGTTTCCATTGATGTCTCGTTCAACTGAAAAAAAAAAAACAGCCCACATTAAGACATTTACAGATAAAATACAAAATAATCTATGCTATTGCCACATTGGGTTAAATTTGCAGCAAGCACATGTGATGGAAAATTCTGGTATTTGGTATTGCTATGATGTATGATGTGTGTTGCTCATTTAACCCCTACTGTGACAGCAGTGAGAAGACACCAAAGTTACGAGCCAGGGAAGCTCAGATACCAAGTGTCCTTGTTAGTCTCAAGAGATGTTGTGTCTTAGGTATGTCAAACCACCTGAGCGTCATATATTTTGACTATCTATGTGCATGTGTTATGGGAACTATAAAGATAGCAGGGCTAGAGGACATCTAGCCACTCACTCACTGAGTGACTGTTCATGTGGTAGTATGTGTGTGACTCCATTCATGAATGCTTATTAAAACTCAAGAAAGACAGCCGACGTGTGAAGACTTTTTCTTTAAACTGTTCATTAAATAGTTGTTTTGCCACCACAAAACTGCTGACCACGAAGGGACCTCATCTGTGAGCGGACTCTGGAATTCTGGACTGAAGGTGTGAAAACTGTGCACACAGCAAGAGCAGAGGCTCTTACACCTCAAACTCCCCCACAAAGGAAGGTTGAGAGGAGGGCCTGACGTCTGGAAAACCGGGATTCCCTTCACCATTGGGCTCCAACAAACTTGGTGGCTGTCAACACCTTGCTGTCTTTTCTGGTGAGTTTTGAGGACTGCGCAGGAAAAATCTTTTCCACCTATTGAGATAGGTTGGCAGACGTGCCAGGCACTGGTTCTGGGAAGCTGAGTGCAGGAAAAGTGGTGAGCTCGGTTTAGGTCAGGGACCTAAAGTAGTGTAGGTTAGGAACCTAACACGACACCTGATTATTTCAGCCGTTAAAGGCGGAAGAAAAGGTGGTGAGAAGCTGTCTGGGTTAAAGGAGAAGTAGAGACACTTGCTATCAAAGTGGAACAGGCAGAGTGAGTGAAGCACGTCTTTTTCTTTATTTCCTTTTTGCAAGTCATGCGCGTTTTTCAGGGTAAAAATTTTCTTTTAAAGTTTGTTGATAAGTTTGTTGCAGTCATTGGTGAATGTAATAGAAATGTGATTACGTGCACTGTCTCATATTATACTGCCTAATGGAGTGTACAGTGTGATATTACATCCTCTTTGTTTCTCCTGAAAATCATTAAACTGCCAGTTCCTAGCAGGTGTTCAATGTTTCAGAGGCGAGACTGAGATTCAACCTTCAAACCTCAGTTTTCAGCAGATAATGGCTGAGAAAGATACAGATAGAATGAAGTAAACAGGAGCTATGAATAAACAAAGAGCAACTGTGTATAAACTAAAGGTCGACTGTCTCTGAGAGAGATTGTCTGCACAAGTATGTTTGCTGAACTTCTGTATTTCTCAGCCTGACAAGCCCAGAGGTTCATTTGCAAATACATTTTTTTGCAATACACTCTTGATACAAGGTTACTTGTGGAATTCAGCTGTCTTAAGGGAAATTTCGACGATATGACTCACCCAGGATGTTGCCTTGTGCACACTGGCACTCCCCCTCTTCAGTGAGACTGCCTGGACAGCGAATACACCCAAACCCGCCTTTTGTTACTGCCTGTAAAAAGAGACAACTTCTCATGTCAGCATTATGACAAATGGTATTAGACATTGGAGTGTGAGATACAGTATCATGTGAGATGAACAGCAAATAAAGACACGCTCTTTGGCTGATTGCACGTACAGGTTTGTCAGGTGGACACTGCTGGCAAGTGATGGACACCTTGTCAGTGATGAGAGTTTGGTACCCAGTTTTGCAAACGCAGCTCAGTCCTGCAAAAAAGCGTAAAGCAGTGGGAAGTTAGTGGGAACAGAGGGCATAGTACAGAGTTGACTTCTGAGATATTAGTTGATTAACAAATCTCGGCTGCAAGTTCCTATCACCACCTGGCAACACTGCAGCACCAAAATAAGACATAAGACTACCCGTATATGGATAATGACTGGTGCATGCACAAATGGCCTCTCACCCAGTACGAGGAGGAATGACTCACCCTTTGCTATACTTGCTAATGGCAACAGTAGAGCAAAAGGCAACACAAGAAGGAGCAAGAACTAAATTGCGGGGAAGTGGAAAAAAAGAGATGTTGGAGCTCTGATTGAGTTGATTAGAGTAACACTAACGTTGCTTGATTATTATACATTAATCAAGTTCTGGTAACTAGTTGCTATAATTCACTGAAAGGTTACAGCAAGTGACACTCAGTAATCCAAGGTCACTTAACATCTGTTATTAAAATCAGCCTGAACTGGAAATCCCCAAAACACCTTCCTGCCTGACTGCCTGCCTGCCTGCCTGTAGAAAACATCTAATTTCAGTGCTCTACTTCCCTTTCCTCTCATCTAACTTATTTGCATGGATCGCAAGTTGTAAATAGAAACATATAAATTGTGCTTTGATGACACCGGATGACAGATGCTAAGGAGCAGTAACAGTGACAGAAACTGGACTGGCTTAGCATTTTTCTTGAAGAACAGGAGGAATCTTTAATCAAGACTTACCAAAGAGGCATCGTCATTGTTTTTGATCTGAATTTTGCTCTTGTTGGAAGCCTGCAGGTCAGTTTATTTTGAGTCCTGAGGAAATCTTTCTTGCTCTTTCTAAATTATTACTTTATAGTCTTTCTAAATTATTACTTTATAGTCTTTATACTGTAGTATAAAGGGGCGGCAGTAGCTCAGTCCATAGGGACTTGGGTTGGGAACCGGAGGGTCGCCTGTTCAAGTCCCCGTCCGGACCAAAATATGGAGCGTGGACTGGTGGCTGGAGAGGTGCACTGCCAAGGTGCCCTTGAGCAAGGCACCAAACCCCCCCCAACCGCTCGGGGCGCCTGACCAAAGGGCAGCCCCCCTCACTCTGAGATCTCTCCACTTTGTGCATGTATAGGTCCTGTTTGTGCATGTGTGTGTCTTTTGGACCTGTGTGTAATTGACAAGCAAGAGTGAAAACATTGAATTTCCCCTCAGGGGATTAATAAAGTGAATAAACTTAATAAAAATATCAATTTATCAGTATGAAAACTTATTTTCCACAGAATTGATACACCGGTACCAGCTGCACTTTGTCGCACTCTGTTATTGTTACTGTTTACTACAGTCATCTTGCTGTTCTCTGCTACTAACCAAGCAAAGAGTCGTCGTTGTCATGTTATGGCCTTGTTATATTTATCTTTTACTAAAAATCTTATATCCTTAATGTGATTTTTTCCTTGCAGTATTGAATGTGTTGTGATGTCGATATTTTTCAAGGTACAGTATTGAAAGTTAGAAATTCTAGTATCATGGCAGCACTATTATACTGTACATTTTATTTTGTGGCTTGAGCGAGGAAGACAAGTTGCTCTTATCGCAAGTGAAGTGAAGTGAAGTGCAGAGATGTAACACAAATAGACTCTGCAACATGCAGTTTCATTGACCAAATAAGCAATAATAATTTGTTAAAACAGAAACTATTAAATTAACTCTTTTTTTTTTAAACATAGGAGGGCAGTTACCAATATTTATGAGTCTTCTAGCTACGGACAATGATGATGATTTCTGTATTTTGTATCATGCACACAAAGATGTGCCCAACCCTTATGGATGTTATCTTACTGCTCAGCCCTCAAACAAAATACTCTGCCTTCTATTCCAGGTCCGGCAAAGAAATTCAGCTACAAAAAAAGCTCCCCTTCTGAAACAAAACTAAAATCTTTCATGATCGTCCAACCAAAAGAAATCAACGTAAACAGGTCATTTTTACTAAAAAAGTATATCCCTATGTGCTCATGTACGGGACAGTAGACAAGAAGTGAACCTCATTCTCAACTTCACTTAAATTACACAACAAACAAATTCTGTGCTTCTCTGGGGTGGTGTTAGACCGTCCAGTCTCTAAAGCTAATGGTAACGTTCCTGAACGCAACTGAGCACATAGATATCAAATCAAGTTTATTTATATAGAACAAATCCCATGAAAAGACCTGTGACTACATCACATTAGTCCATCTCCCAGTGCTTTCCAACATCTCTATACTGTCTGAGGCAATCAGCTCAAGGTTTATTCCCTCTGAAGATGCAGGTGTTTACTTCATAGACTTTCATTTTGGAAAAAAAAACATGTCCAGGAGCAGCTGAGACTAAGAGCCCTGAAATGAACGCCCTTGTCTCACTGTAGTTTCCTTCAAGATGGTAAAGGAAAATGGTTTGAAGATATCTATATTTAGATCTGCAGTCACACCATGTGAACAGCGTCTGCCTTCAATCAGCTGGTGCTGTGTAACAGAGCTCAGGACACTCCTGTAACTGGTTGATCTCGTCAGGGCCCACACCCATGATTGTTCAAGGTGTAGTCTCAATAATCATACTTGATGTGAGGCATATAACAAAGGCTCTATAGCTCAGTGGTTAGAGCACTGGTCTTGTAAACCAGGGGTCGTGAGTTCGATCCTCACTAGGGCCTTGAAATTCATTTATTTAATCTTTACTGGTCACAAACAAACACCTTAAATAGCATAAAAAAGTCCACTGTGGGGCACTGGTGGCTTAGTGGTAGAGCAGGCACCCCATATACAAGGCTGTTGCCGCATCAGCCTGGGTTCGAATCCAGCCTGTGGTCCCCTGCTGCATGCCCTGCAGCCTAATGTATTAGGGAAACTACTTATCACCAATTGAAGGCTCAGTTTGTCAGATTTAGAGAGATATAGTGGCATTGCACGTTGAGGATTTGAAATTGCAAGTTGCAACCAACTGAAACGTCTCCTGATTAGAAATCCTTCAGTGTTTATTGTTCAGGAGGTTTTTATCAGGAACCAAGACAGGCAGCTTGCCCACCACATGCTTATGTGTGCTCACCTTTTTTCTCTAGTAACTTAAGATCCAGACATTTCAAAGGTTTTGACTGGGCACAAATTATTCGCAGAGGTCAGAACAAAACCAGTGCAAAAACTGAATAAAGCAATTTCGCATTAAAAAAAATCTGTATTTTTCCGAATCTGCTTGTCACAGAGTGGCTGCAGACTTCAGTGGTCGGCACAGAAATGCCAGAGCCAGTGTTGGGTTTGTCCATTCTGAGTTTCTGTGGTGCACGGTGGTGCAGTGGTTAGCGCTGTCACCTTCGAACACAGGGTGGGGGAGTTTGTATGTTCTCATATCAGCGTGGGTTTTCTCCGGCTTACTCCCACCAAAGACATGCATGTTAGGTTAATTGGTGACTCTGAATTGCCTGTAGGTGTGAGTGTGAATGTCTCTGGCAACCTGCCCAGGGTGTACCCCGCCTGTTGCCCAATGTCAGCTGGGATAGGCTAGAGACCCCTAACATCATAAGCGATTATGGAAAATAAATGAATGAATATATTAAATTTAAAAACAACCACAGTGACCAAAGTGCTGCACAAAATAAAAAAATGACACACCATGATACAGCAATATAAAATGAACAGAAATATAAAACACAATAAAAGCAGTGAGACCAATTACATACATTAAGAAGATTATAAAATACTAAAATATTAAAACCACTACAAACAACCTTTGGCCATTGAAAACATGTACATTTTAAGAATTGTCTTAAAAGTGTCAGTGGAGGGGGAGCATTTGATTAAGATTGGAAGGCTCTTCCAGAGCTTTGGAGCAGCTACCGCAAAGGCACGTTCTTTGTCTTTTGTTTCGATTACACTTCATATAAGACAAAAAGACAACAAGTTCGTAGTTTTGTTTTAAACCATGTATAAACAGACCATTTTTGTCTAAATACGAGAAACATTTTACTCCTAATCTCCTAAATATCACAGATTAATCTGTTCTGGAAAATAAATGGCATGTTGTTAAAATAAAGTAAGGATTTCAACTTAACTACTTCTACATAATCTGACTGCCTTTGAATAGATGTTTAGCTCCACTCCTCCTGAGCCATTTCAAGAATGTTACAGAGATAAGAAGTAATAAAATGCTCCAGCAAGCTCTACATTTACGGGTTTGGCCTTTTATTGTGACCACCCCAAGGCACACCTGTGTAGTCATGATGCTGTTTCATCGGCATCTTGATATGCCACACCAGTCAGGCTGGAAAAGTGCTCACTACCATGGATTTAAAAATTCTGCATTTAAAAAATATGTTATGTATGGTCTGCATTAAAAAGAAAGTCTTAGATCTTTAACTGAAACCCGTGAAAATGGGAGCAAAAACAAAAGTGTTGCGTTTACATGTTTGTTCAGTATATATGTAATGTTATAAGCCACATTACCCAGACCTAACTGCTGTCTGTATTTGCAGGTACTGACTTTATTCCATATTAATCCACACAGCTCACTGCGCATTGTTTTTAAGTGGACTGCTCCTTTAAGAGTTCCCAACAGTCATGTTAGCTAAACTCTTCACTGATTTTTAATATCTTAGCTAGCCGTTAGCACCTAGCTAACTGTTACCCAGCTCATTGTGGTTTCTTTCCGTCGTGGGAGGTCAACCACCTCACAGTTAGAGTTATTTGATTTAAGGTACGTCTATTAACACTTTTTGTTCGCACAGAGTCGTCGGTGAAACAGTTTTTGTGATGCGGTGTGATGGTAACCGACCTGTTGTGCTCCGTCGCTGGTTTGAACCGCAGCTCACACACGACAGACTCGAGATATCGAAAAATTCCTCCGCGCTACAGTCAGAAGGAGTTTTATATGGGATGACAAACTGCTGGCAATAAAAAAGATCTGTGTATATTAACAGCAATAACGTTAGGGGCACTTTGTATCTGTGAACAGCAGACGGTGGCGTCTCCGTCGCCATGGTAAACAACAGTCTTCCTTTTTACCCACAATGCCATTCACCCAGCGTGATGACGTTTGACCGAATTCATATCTGCGTCACAGGAAAAAAAAGTAATATTTATAAAGCTTTAAAGCAAGGAAAATTAATGTAAAATTATATTTAGTTATAAATAATCACATAAATACATAAAAGGTCATTATCAATGTAATATAATAATCAGAAGCTTTATTTACTTATCACCTTTCATACAAGAAATACAGCACAAACTGCTTCACAATAAGATGCTTCTATGCTTCACATGAAGATTGACGTAAGGAACATAAAACAAGCCAACAAGGCAATTCAATATAAAATAGCACTTAATAAATACGACCAAATAAAGACAAAACATAAGATGGAAAACAGAGGAGACAGAAGGCATCATAGGTCATTATTAGCAAAACTATAAATCTTAAAATCAGAAATTGTCACCTGTATAGCAGATGTTTTGTACATCTTTTAAAAGTCCAGTCTCACTGCACAATATGTGTTTTAAACTTAGGGTCTTGTCGAGACACAATTGAAATTATTTTTTGTATTTTGTCAGGAACTGAAAAAATAAATAGAATCAGAGACACTCAAGTCGAAATTAATTTAAATGAATTAATTTATAATTTTGTACAGCAGACATTTTGACTCAAGCAGACATTAATAGTGGCTCAGCTCCATTGTGCATCACATGTTAAATATACATTCAAGAGTGGTGTTGGTAAGAATAATGAAGGATACTGAGAAAATGTTGCACAGTTAAATATAATTACAAGTGTATAATTTAGACAGTTTCGCAAAGAATTATTGTACTTTTAAGTAAATCAAAGAATTATAGGTGTGTAATACATAACACACTATACAGGTTGTCCTAGTCAAACAGGTTTTTTATGAGGGTAGTAAATAGGCTAACCCATGTAGGGGAGAAAGGTTTTTAAACTGGGCTGTGTGACTGGAGAATGCTCTGTTATATAACAACTGCTTATGAGTCATGAGGGACTTTTGGCAGGAAATTACAGAGGTGCAGCTTTGTCTTCTTCACTTCCTTGTGACAGAGATCGGCCATATCTTTGCATAGTCCTCAAGACAGAGAGACACAGAGAGACACCTAGGTGAGATTAAGTAGGTAAGATTTTAAAATGTAAACATTTAAGTGGAATTATCTTAAGGGAATGAGGCAGATGAGAAGATGTTTTAGAAACCTCACAAAGCCAGTTGGACTGTTTCTGTCAGTGTGTAGATTTTCGACTGCTGAGGGCAAGAACAAGGAAGCCACACAGAGGAAAGCAGCCCATGGGCCTTAGTGAGGCCAAGTAAAATGAGCACATGTTGATTGCTAAATGCTTTGGATCATTTTACCGTAGTCTTTTTTTTTTGGCTGATCATTGTGGTCAGTTGTTGGCTGAAGAATTGTGGCTTTTTATGGTGAAAGATTTTGGTCACTTTCCTTTTTCGGATGGAAGATTTTCTTTTTTGCAGATAACATTTTTGTTTCATCCGACAGTTGGTTATTTTGGGACTGCAGACTGATTTTTTTGTGGAGGAGAAATGCTTAAAAAATGTAACTGGAGAGATGCGTAGAATATGATGTGATGGCTTTTCATCAGTTTAAACAGTGGACAAAAGGCAGTTCAGTAAAATATAGGCTATGAAGACAAATATGTCTGTGCTATCACAAACAGGAGACAATAGATTCTGTATTGTGTATGTCGTGGCAGTTTTTACCCGATCTGCTTGGGAGTCAACAAACAAGACTGAATAGCTTCATGCACAAGAGTTTATTCTGCATAGAGAAGGCGCAACCTCAGGCTCAGCGCTCAGAGTTTGTGCCCAGAACAGTGAATACAGGGCATCTTTATACCTACACTCAGGCGACAAGATGATGAGAAATCAATTGTTCCTTCCTGATTTAATTATGTTCTCCTGGTTACATTAGAGGAACATACCTGCTGTAGTCTAGTATATAACATGTTAGGTGATCGACTGTATCTGTTAGACAGTCAATGGACTGTTTTTGAAGGTGAGATTATAGAGAATATAAATCTCTTCACGATGTCAAGTAATGACAGATGTTTACAAAAGGGGAATGCAAAGGTCACACACTTACAAAGACATAGGAAGAATGAAACAATATAAGCATATGCATGAAGAAGACAAAATCCTCCAAATTCCACCAAAGTCCCCATTAGCCACTGACAAGGAAGCGGCTACTCTTCTGTGGGACACACAAGTGACATCACATTATAATGTAAAACAGATACAGTACAGGCCAAAAGTTTGGACACACCTTCTCATTCAATGCGTTTTCTTTATTTTCATGACTATTTACATTGTAGATTCTCACTGAAGGCATCAAAACTATGAATGAACACACGTGAAGTTATGTACTTAACAAAAAAAGGTGAAATAACTGAAAACATGTTTTATATTCTAGTTTCTTCAAAATAGCCACCCTTTGCTCTGATTACTGCTTTGCACACTCTTGGCATTCTCTCCATGAGCTTCAAGAGGTAGTCACCTGAAATGGTTTCCACTTCACAGGTGTGCCTTATCAGGGTTAATTAGTGGAATTTCTTGCTTTATCAATGGGGTTGGGACCATCAGTTGTGTTGTGCAGAAGTCAGGTTAATACACAGCCGACAGCCCTATTGGACAACTGTTAAAATTCATATTATGGCAAGAACCAATCAGCTAACTAAAGAAAAACAAGTGGCCATCATTACTTTAAGAAATGAAGGTCAGTCAGTCCGGAAAATTGCAAAAACTTTAAATGTGTCCCCAAGTGGAGTCGCAAAAACCATCAAGCGCTACAACGAAACTGGCACACATGAGGACCGACCCAGGAAAGGAAGACCAAGAGTCACCTCTGCTTCTGAGGATAAGTTCATCCGAGTCACCAGCCTCAGAAATCGCAAGTTAACAGCAGCTCAGATCAGAGACCAGATGAATGCCACACAGAGTTCTAGCAGCAGACCCATCTCTAGAACAACTGTTAAGAGGAGACTGCGCAAATCAGGCCTTCATGGTCAAATAGCTGCTAGGAAACCACTGCTAAGGAGAGGCAACAAGCAGAAGAGATTTGTTTGGGCCAAGAAACACAAGGAATGGACATTAGACCAGTGGAAATCTGTGCTTTGGTCTGATGAGTCCAAATTTGAGATCTTTGGTTCCAACCGCCGTGTCTTTGTGAGACGCAGAAAAGGTGAACGGATGGATTCCACATGCCTGGTTCCCACTGTGAAGCATGGAGGAGGAGGTGTGATGGTGTGGGGGTGTTTTGCTGGTGACACTGTTGGGGATTTATTCAAAATTGAAGGCACACTGAACCAGCATGGCTACCACAGCATCCTGCAGCGACATGCCATCCCATCCGGTTTGCGTTTAGTTGGATGATCATTTATTTTTCAACAGGACAATGACCCCAAACACACCTCCAGGCTGTGTAAGGGCTATTTGACCAAGAAGGAGAGTGATGGAGTGCTGCGGCAGATGACCTGGCCTCCACAGTCACCGGACCTGAACCCAATCGAGATGGTTTGGGGTGAGCTGGACCGCAAAGTGAAGGCAAAGGGGCCAACAAGTGCTAAACATCTCTGGGAACTCCTTCAAGACTGTTGGAAAACCATTTCAGGTGACTACCTCTTGAAGCTCATGGAGAGAATGCCAAGAGTGTGCAAAGCAGTAATCAGAGCAAAGGGTGGCTATTTTGAAGAAACTAGAATATAAAACATGTTTTCAGTTATTTCACCTTTTTTTGTTAAGTACATAACTCCACATGTGTTCATTCATAGTTTTGATGCCTTCAGTGAGAATCTACAATGTAAATAGTCATGAAAATAAAGAAAACGCATTGAATGAGAAGGTGTGTCCAAACTTTTGGCCCATACTGTATATACCCCTAAAACTTCAATATTAGCCCAGGTTATTATTTGCTTAAATCAAAAGTCACATGTAATGAAAAGTGAGAGGTAGACTGACTGAATGTGGACAAACTGAGACATACTGTTGAATTTGCACAAAGTTTCAAGGATATCACAGCTGTTCATCATTTGTTTTATAAATGGATGAACGTTTTCAGAATGTACTTCTTTATACTAAAATAAGGCAAACATCTGAAGAGGTTGTTATTCAAAGGTTATTATATAATGGTTTTCCTGGTCTGGCCCACTGGAGATCTAACTGGGCTATTGGGGTGGACGATATGGCCCTAAAATAATATCATGATATACTCTTCACAATTCTTAATTATTTTAATATAGATTTAAGAAAACAGTATTGCATCAAAATAAGTGATATAGTTTTACATGTTAACAGTTTGCCTTCAAATATTCAGTAAAAACTAAACAAAACTGATCTCTCATTTCTTTAGTTTGTGAACAACAGTAACTCAGAGTGAGATTCAGATTCTGTTACAATATTAATAGCTCAACAAATTAAAATCTACCACAAATTACACATTTAAACAGCTCCCAAATACAAAAAAATGTCCCCTGGGATCTATATATATATATATAGATAAACAGGTGATTTCCTTCTTTTAGCAAAATCCTAAATGACTGAGTTTTTTTTTTCACCTGGACCTTTATGCTCTGCCATTTCTCCTCTAATCATCACGCTGTAACCTGTGACAGGCTGTTATGATACCACAACTATCACACATTCCCATATATGTAGTTTTTTGTCGAGCTGCGAGCGTCACGTAGGTTTATAGTACCAAAGGTTTCTGACATAATCACTTGATAACACTGACTCCTGTGTGGACGGCGAGAAGAGAAGGAGAGATGCTGCGCTGCTGCCAGAGGAGCCGCTGACTGAGTTCCCTCTGAGCAGTAAGTCGCTAAAAGAGCCTGAGAAGTCCGGGGCTGTTCATAAGACATTCAGGAAGCCACAGTTTATTTTATACTACTGAAGCTGCTCCTGTTTATGGAACCGCTGCTGAGTCGGTAATACTTTCGCCTTCAGCCATGCTTGTTGTTGCCGTGGGTAACAGTGTCAATATGTAGAAATATTGCAAATATCACAATATGAATTTTTCATATATTAAAAATCATACCTGTATTATTGAGCACGAGATGATGTGGCACACCTCTACTGGACTGTATGTGGCCCCTGAACTAAAATGAGTTCAACACCCCTGCTGTAGAGGCGTTGTCCTGACTGTAGCTCACACTCCAGCCCGGTAGGTGGCGGTACTGAGCGTCACACGCACTCCAGAGCCAATGAAAGCGTAGGGAGAGAAAGACTGCATTCTTAAGCAGCGCGGGGAGCAGAGGGAGACCACATTCCAGCGTGTTCACAAATGTAGACAGGACTACGGCAACAACACCGCTAGCAGACAACGTATATTAACATTTATAACGTTACATTGTACCTACGTGTGGTGTGGTGAGTATTCATGCGCGTGTCATGGAGACAGAGAAACTGTTACTCATAATTTTCTCTTTTCCCCTTCAGTGCTCCTGTGACGCACGTGTTTGTTTTGTTAAAAAAACGCAACGTGTAACATTTGTCGCATCAGTTTTGTATTTCTCACCACTGTTGTCTTAATTTGCAGATGCCACGTGGTCTGGTGTGACAAAATGACCATCATCCTGAGACTGCAAGGCCTCGATGTGAAGGCAGGCACTGAAGATATTAGGAAATTCTTTGGACATCTTCACATACCTGATGGAGGAGTGTACATCGTGGGAGGAAGTCTCAGAGAGGCTTTTATTGCATTCACCTCTGAAAGAGATGCCCAGCTTGCCATGCGGTACAGTGGAAATTTCCTCAAAGGGTGTGTGGTGTCTCTGCACATAAGCAGCATGGCAGAGCTGGAGGAAAAACTCAACATATTGTTGAAGAAGAAAAAGAAACCCTCCCCCACGCACGCCACTGTTAAGAGACCTCAAACCTCTCCAGATGCAGATTTGCCACATTTGAAACCCAACACTGCGAATCTGAAACCACCTACTGCTCAGCCGCTGGATCCAAGGACTGCAAATCTGCATATTGCAAATTTACAACCTTCAAATGCACACTCACTTGATTCCAATACTGCCTTTCTTCTGGGGGTGTGTACTGTCCTTCAAGGTCTCCAGTCATCCCTTACAAGTGAAAACAATGAGGCATTGCCAAGACTTGATTTCCCCAGAGCTGACAACACAGCTGAGTTTGACGAGGTGAGTTCGCCAGAGCAAACTCTGGACCCAAGCCCAGGCTACGTCAGGCTTTTTGGTCTGCCATCCTCTGCTTCAAAAGAAGTCATCTGCCATTTTTTCAAAGGGTTGTCTGTGCAGGAAGCCATTGTGAATGTAGAGCTGGGACGCAGCCGTGGCTGTCTGGTGAAGTTTGCCAGCATGCAGGATGCAAGTGAAGCTCTTCTCTTCAACCAGCAGTCACTGGGGCCCTTTTGTGTGGAGGTACGTGGAGCAACTGAGAAGATGTGGACCAGTGCTGTGCAAGAATGTGAAACTGCTTTGGATGTTGGGGTGAAACCCAAGCAGAATCCTCTGAGGGAAACTGCAAACCACAAACACAGAAATGCTTCTGCCCTGCAGATGAAGAGGAAATCTGTCAATAAGTCGCCATCTGTGTCACCAAAAAAGCCAAGATCTGACAGTGACTCCACAACCACCATATCTCCAACTGAGGAGCACACTGTCATGGTTAGGAATCTGCCCAAAGGGATGACCAAGACTGAAATAAAAGAATTGTTTGGGTGTCCAAACATTGCACACAAAAATGTGCTACATCTGCTCGACAAAGAAGGTAACAGAACGGACACTGCTTTTCTTATTTTTAACCGCACTGAGGATTACGACTATGCACTGAACCTCAGCGGCTGCCATGTGGGCTCTGATGCCATTGAGGTCTCATCAACCACTAGAATGATAATGAGGGACATGATGGCAAAAAGCCATTACAGGAGTCTTAAGCCTTGTCCAAAGACAGACACAATGAAGAAACCAAATCGAAAGAGGAAATTAAATCCAGCTGTGACACCAGAAGAAGCACCAAGCGTGAACCCGGACCCGGCAGCCCAGACATGCTTGTTTGTCAGAAACATGCCAGCAGATGTGATGAAAAGTCACATTAAAAGTCTTTTCTTCAAGTACAAAGTGAGGATGGACAGCATCGTCTTACTGCATGACGGTGATGGCAAGGGTATCGGTGAGGCCGTGGTCCAGTTTAAATCACAGAAACTCGCTGCACTTGCTCAGAAGCTGCACGGTCAGGACTTCCTGGGGACAAAAGTGCTTCTTACCCGTATAAACGTGAAGCAGATGGAGGACATCTTGGAGAGAAATGCTTGAGGATGTTGAATATCAATGCTCGAATGCACACAACCATGTTATAGACTGCTTCTTTTCTACCGAGTTGGTTTTCCAACTTTAAATCTGCTTGATTGCAGCCATCTGCTTAAATTTCAGTTTTCTAGTTATTAAATGTCTTGCTTAACATCTCACTGTTACACTTTGCTTTATATTACACCTGTGTACATTCCAGACATTTGAAAATAAACTTTTATACCGTTTTATGGTCCATTTATTAACCTAAGAAACACTAAAGTGATGTGCTTGTGTGAATCTGCAACGTTGGAACGGGATCCACTTTGAAACAGCTGGGTGCTTCTATGCTGCAGACATCTATGATAATGGAAAGTAATCAACCTCATCTACACTTTAAGGAGGATATACACAGGTATGCTTTATAACGTTATCTTGGGATGCTTAAAATTTTTGTTTGATTTAATGCATCCACTGAAACATGTTCCAGCAGGAGAGGCTAAGTGTCTCAAGCACTTCAGTGGGACTACATTCAGAAGCTATTGGAGCGACCCCATCTTTGTCCATGTAGCACATAAATTGAGGAATGTTTCAAAAGGAAAAAGCTTGAATGAATCAATTTCAAAACAGGTCTTTTTTTCCCCAATTACTTTTAATAGAACACGGCCTTGGGAAAAGATCAATGGTCATACACTAAAGTACAGTTAAAGCTGCTGAAAACATGCATGTGTGATTTTGTGGTAAACCGACAAATCAGACCATCTTCTGAAAAGGTAAAAACGTTTAAAAAAAAAAAAAAAAAAATCAGACTACTTTGTAGCAACATGCCTAAAAGCATAAACATTTACACAAAATCAAAGTTTTCAACTCCTGGACCATCACGACTAATGCACACAGAACAAGAGGGATGAGAAGATCGAGGCGTTGCTTCTTGGGATTGTTATTTGTAATACCTCGGCGGACCACTTGAGTATCTGGATGGACCTGCAGAGAGATAACATGCCAGACTCATTAAAAGGACAAAACAAAAAAAAGGATGCTCCACTCACATTTGATTTCCATGTTTCAAATATGAGCAACAGGCATTTCTTTAGTGTCTCCTAGTCAACACGACTCATTATTTGAGTTGAGGCTGTGTTGAAAGGAGACACGGGCTGCTTTCACATCAGAGGGCTAAATGCTCAGTTCCAATTATTATCCCGGATCTAATCTTTCTGTCTGGGCCCATATGTGGCATCAGTATGAACAGATCTCTGTCCTGAAATGGCTTACGTGCAACCAATAATGTCACTCACATGTGCTTTGGAACAACAACAAAAAACGGCACAATTCCTTAACAAGCATTTTGGTAATAGATGAATGCATGAGTCAAGCTTTATCTCTGAATAATGAGGAGTGGCTGCAGAGCTCTGTGAGTGGCTTCAGAGCGCTCCCACCTCCTGTCCAAAGTTGTGCCTGCCTGCTCTGCGGAGCACTGCTGCCAGCCTCGCAGCTCCGGGCCCTTCGTGGGACTTCCATAGTAGGAAGGTCCAATACTGTCATTCTGCATAATAATTAGCCATGTGCTTCTGTTTGTAATCTCAGAGAATTGGCCCTTAACAGCAACAGGCATTTGTTTTCGGGATAACAGGCTGTCATACAACTGGGCTTTCAGTCCACTATCTCTATCAGAAAGCAACTGCTGGTAGTCGTTTGGAGAGAAATACTTCACGAAGAAATACTTCTTCCAAACTTTAGGATGTCAAAGGCTACGTTCAAGTATCTCTGTCAGCTTCTCAACAATGCTATCACCGCATGTAGGCAAGCTGTCCCCGTCAGAAAACATCTGGTAGTCACTCTATTGGCTTGCAACTGGGGTAGCCTACTGCAGCAGCAGTACAGCTGTGGCAGCCTTCTGTAGTTTTAAAGGAACGCCGACACTGTATGGTGAGTAATCTGCTCCTGTGCAGTGAAGAATGACCAGTGATCGGATATGTATCAAATTTAGAACCAAATATTAAAATGACCCAGATCTGATTGGAAAACAGAATCGGATCTGTGTCACATGAGTGTAGGGCCAAATTAGCCTGTAATGTGAACGTAACCTTGGTGCTTACATACCTGAGAGACTACTTGAGAATCGGTCGCTACTGCGTGGCAGGCTGGGGGTTGTAGAGGAGAGGCCTGTGGAGCTCAATGAGAAGCTGTTCAGACTAGAACCCTGGGGAGGAAATGAGGACAGAGCATTTAGCAGGAGGAAGGGTTGGGTATGGTTTATATTTGAATCGATGCCTGTATCTCTTCTGGTAGCTGTGCCCAACAGTACGTATTTTCTGTACTTAACTTTCCCTGTAATTACAAAAACTTAATTTTTGAACAAGCTGCAGGGGTGAGATAGTAGACTAAAAGGCAATTCTGATCTTGGCTCTTTTCTAATCACACAGAGCCAATCTTCTGTCTCCGTTTTACTTGTGTATGTGTGTCTGCTCGTCTGGCAGTGATAGTAGGCTATTACTTAAATAATTCAGAAACGAAAACAGACCAGACAGCGAAACTATCAGAGTGGCTGCAGAGCTCTGTTGCTGGCTTTTGGGTGCTCCCACCTACTGTCTAACGTTGAACCCGGCAGCTCTGCAGAGCACTGTTGCTAGCCTTGCAGCTCTGTGGCTGGCCTAATGTTCTCACTCAGATGCACTCTGGGGTACCAATATTTGGCACTAGTGGATTTTACATGAAGCGGAAACACCGTAGTAATGATGTAATTCAGTCGGCACCCTTGAAAGTCCTGAGTTGGGTACCCAACCCTACTGATGGGAGATGTGTATTGGATTAGATATTGAGTTCAAAGATCAATACTCTTTCTCCAGGGTCACAGACTCCACCTTTAATGATTGGTTTTCAATCAAAGAGTAAAAACAAGCTCCTTACGGTCGACACGCTCCTCAGTCTGTACTCCATCAGCACATCTGTTAGTTTCTGTGTCACCTTCAGCACCAGCTGTGCGTCATTCTCGTTCTCTATCCGGAATGTATCCTAAAAATACATTTTGAGAATTTACTGTATGGTTGAATACAATTCAAATCACACCATTGTTAAGATGGGGAGGAACCTATTGTGAGAAACGAGATACATACCAGGTAAGTGAGTAGAGTATTAGGAAGGTTGCCACTTTCTGGACTTGCTCCCATTAAGCCTGGCCTCTCCAGTGGCTTGTTCATTAAGCTACTCCCCATTTGGCTGCCCCGGTACTCATCAGGATACCTTCTGCCTGGGCGGTCGTCCAGTAGTCCACTCCTTCCACCACCCGATCCATAACTATCTCCAATCCCAGCTGGGCGAGGAGGACCCATACTGTCTGGGAAAGGTCCTCGACTCATACCGGAGTCCAGGGAATCTCGCCTGGTTGAGTAGCCTCCCAAGCCGGACTCCCACTGGGAGTCTCCCGCAGGATAGTCTCCTACAGGATAGTCTCCGCCTGGATAGTCTCCACCTGGATAGTCTCCACCTGGATAGTCTTCCACTGGATAGTCAGAGAGAGGACCAACTGGAGGAGGAAACTCCCCTGGATACCTCAAGTCAGAGAACCTGGGACCTGAAAGACCTGTAATATTTAAATACACAGAGAGGAAATCAATAGAAAAAAAGGCATACATGCACAGTATTACACAGATTATGATTCAATGATAAAAATGTATACATCCAAAGTCTCTGATCGCTACTTCAACTCATACGGTGTAATTTATAAAACTAGAAAAGCACTCAGAGAGTGCAGACCTCTGCCAAGTAGGTGATATTCCCTCCCCCTCTGCATCAGATTTTGCAGCCTGCATCACAACTAGGTTATTTGCATCACTATCATTATTAGGTTATATATACCTTCACCATGGAGACACTATGGTGTATTTATTTCGTTTTTATTTTGTACCAACACAGAATATAATGTTTTTTTATATTTTTCCAACACAGAACATTAATTTCAACTTGAGAATTACAACAATATTTAGCAAGTAGAACAAGACGTGCTTTCCGGCCACCAGATGGCGCTATTTTCACCGTCTCATTAGAAATTGGAATTGCTGCTGAGGCTGTCAGACGATAGACTTCATTTATTATTTTATCCACTTTGCTTCAACCGATCACCACCAAATTTTATCATCTGTTCCTTGTCCCATTTTCCACCTTTCCTGAAAATTTCATCAAAATCCGTTCATAACTTTTTGAGTTATTTTGCAGACAAACAAACAGGGGGCGGAGGTAACAAGGACGTACTCTAGTATTGATTTTGGAACATTTTAAGATGAGATGATATGAGATGAGATGATTTCTTTTATAAAAAAGACAGAGAAAGACGCTTTGCTGTGCTGTGAGAAAGCCTGTGAATGAGAGGAATAGAATATCTTCAAACTTCCAAAGTTTAAATAAGTAGTCATCAAGCACTTGACCATGATTTACTGAGGAGACAGACGCTCTTATTTTCATTTTCCTCCTCTGCATTTCACTCATTACATCCAACCTGCAGCAATGCTATGCAGCAGTAAATTCCATCGCACCGACACAAAACCTTAAGGTCTATTTTTTTCCCCCTTTAAGTTCCTTGAGAAGTTTTCCCTTGGACTAAAATTCCTGGGAACTCTGGGTCTAAATGCAGCTAATAACTCACCAAAGGGTGGTCCCTTTGGTCCCATCACTGGTGCTGGTGGAGGTATAAATTTAGGAGCAGCAGTACCTGTGAGAGAACAAAGGACATGAGAGACATTAACAACTCAGGTTACTGAAAAACAAAAAAAATCCTTTCCATTAATTCATGGCAGGGTAACTTACGGAGTCCTTTAAAAGCAGGTACTTCAAAGGGTTCCTTAAGAATCACCTGAAAGCCAAAACAGGAACAGAAAATTGTCAAATCCAAAATCGTGTAAAATGTAAGATGTATAAAATAAGTACACTGCTAAAATATAAACATGATTCATTTTTATAACTTGAATATAAGAATCTTTAGGAAGGCTGACTGCCTCAAACACACCACTGTCTCCTCATTCATTTCAATGTGACAGCAAAGGCTTGGGTTTAAAAAAAAAAATCCAAACAAACAAAAAAAAAAAACAGGCTTGTCTGGCTTTTTCCCCGCAATTTTTTTTTTATCTGTGGGGTCGCTGACGTTACTGTTTTTTGTTCTTTTGTCCTTGTTTGTCCTCTGATAAACTCTACTGTATGCCATACACTGACTATGTAAGTACCCCATACAGCCCCACTTCAAAAGATCTGAACTATC